GTGGGTGTCCGTGTGAGTGGCTGGGGCTCCGCGGGGGTTGACCTCAGTTAAAGGAGCTTCGCGGCTCCAGGGCAAGAAACCCGCGGTGTTAGGGGCAGGTCTGAGCTGAGACTACCCAGCCCATGGCAGGTCCCTCGGCCCACTTTGGCCCCAGTGCAGGGGCAGCCCGGGCTGTGGTGCATGTGGCTGGTTCCCCCACCCCTGGGCATGCAGCAGGGGAGGGGCAGCGTGATAGCCAAATTCAGCTTCCTGGCAGCCCCTGTAGTGGCGGCTCACTCGGCCCATTTACTGCCACCAGTGTCTCCACTGCCACCAGACCCACCCTCTCTGCCTGAGCACCCCAGCCCATCTGCCCTACACCCACCGCTGGACAGAGCAGGCAGGCAGGGCCCCTGTGGAGACCAGCTAGGGACCCCCACAGGCAGGGTGCACTCATCCAGACAGAAAGGATGGGGCTGCAGGTGGGTGGGGAGCTACGTCCAGGAACAGGGCAGGTGGGACTGGGTCCAGGATTATGGAGTAGTGATAGCATAGAGCCAGAGCAGAGCCACGATCCTCTCCCTGCACATTCTTGCCCATGGAACCGGCGGGGGGTGTGGGGAGCTGACCGTGGCTCTGCCCCAGCCCCATGCTGTCATTGTTCTGCAATCCCATCCCATTTGCTGGGCTGAGCCCTGCCCTTGGGGATACCTAGCCAGTCTCCAGGGAGACTCCACTCGCCCACTCCATCCAGCACCCTTGGCAGTGGGTACGGGGCGGATGGGCCAGGGGCATGATAGGATCAGTTGCCCCCCACCCTCCTTTGCCCCCCTGCTGTGCTGGGCCAGTTCACCCCTCCCCCAATCCCTCCAGCCTACAACAGCTCACCAGAACTCCTTAAGTGGCCCTCAACCCAAATAATTGCCCACCCATGTGCTAAGCTATATAATGGGATTTAGCTGTTGTTTGTAGGCTTGTCCTAATAGTTTTCTTCTGTCCTCAGGTGGTGTATCAAACTGCTGTTCATTCGTGTTTTCCATATGTGCACTACCAGCATTTAACATAAAGGAGTGTCAAACTCATCTGGTTTTGCAGGCTTGCTGCAATACTTGGGGCCAGTCTGCAGGCCAGATTGTGCCTACAGACTCTCCCTTATGCTGTAGCCAGCCCACAGGGCAACATGTCCTGGACCATCCTGGCTTCAGGCCCCATGCATGCAGCACATGCCAACCCTGGCCCTACCCCTGCACATGGCATGTGGGATGAGTCAGGCTGTACGCTACACACAGGGTTGGTCTGCAGTGTGTGTAGCACCTGCACTAGACTGGCCCTGTGTGCTGGATCTGGCACTGGTGGCCAGTCTGTGAGCCTGATCCAAAGCAGCCCTGGATCCAGTGTGCAGGGCCAGTCCAGTGTAGGTGCTGCATAAAGTTCACCCCAGACTAGCCCTGTCATGTGTAGCCCACATGAAATGGGCTCTACGCTGCATGCAGGGCCAGGGCAGCACATACTGGCTGGGGCCAGTCAGGCAGCCCTGAAGG